TTAAGTTAATATATATAGGTTATGCTAGTTACATGAAATGACATATCTGCCCTTGGTGCTTACATCATAACTGCTAACAAATAACAAACAATATAAAACTGAAACTAGAAATAACAGAATAGCAAAATAACCACAGCTGTGACTAGATACATTCTACCTACGGACAGAGTGGGACCACAGCTGTGGGGCCCACATCAATGTTCTCTACAAATAGAAAGAGGATCCTTTCCATATAAGGCCTTAAATGGGGTCATGCCCGTAGCTGAGTGAAAAGCGGTATTGTACCGGAGTTCTGCTATGGAAGCCATTTGAACCACCACTTGGGTCATTCTCTTGCAAAACCCTGCAAATACGTCTCGAAACACTGGTGGATGACCTATATTTGGTTGTCAGTTTGGGGGTGATAGGTTATTGATTTCTGGAGGTGAGTGCCTTGCAACTTGAAGCTCTCTCTAAAACCCACCAAGGAATCTGGGATCTCTCTCAGATACAATTACCTTCAGGGTTCCATGGAACTTGGTGACATCTTGGATGAACACCTCAACCACCATGGGTTAGGGCTGAAAAATGCTCATATTTTCCTGAGACAATCAACAACCGTTAATATTATTGAGTTCCTCGCTGATAGAGAGGAACCCTGCCATGAAATCCATAGTCACTTCTTCCTAGATGTGGTTCAACATCGAAAGTGGTCTAGGGAGCTCCAGGAAAAGAAGAGTGATAAGGAAAGTCCTCAGAAAAGAGAAGCTGGACGTTGTGTTAATTCAAGAATCAAAATTATCAGAAGTGGATAGGAGATGGGTGAGAAGTATTTGGTTGGCTAGAGGACTGAATTGGGCTTTTGCACAGTCTTGGGGGGCCTCAGGGGGAATTCTTACAATCTGGAAAAATGAGGGATTGGATTGTACAGAAGAATTAATTGGTAACTTTACGGTTACAATTAAACTGAGAGGAAGAGATGATGGACTGGAATGGGCTTTAACAAATGTTTATGGGCCAAACTCGTATAGGGAAAGGGAGGGGCTTTGGGAGGAGTTAGCAGCTATAAGAGGATTGTGGGTGGGTCTGTGGTGTTTAGGAGGAGATTTCAATGTCATTAGGTTTTCAATGAAACCAATGTTTTGAAAATCGTAATTGTATCATAAATCGTAAAGGGGTTTGAATCGAATCGTATCGTGAATCGTATTGTAAATCGTAAGATTTTTTCTGAAAGTTGTCAAAAACCTATAAAAATACCTAAGCATCTCAAAAAATAGAGGAAAAATGATTCTGCACTTTCAGCTTATACACGTTATATAAGTAGGTAATATTAGTGACAATTACACTACTTTCGTATCATAGCAGTAGTCAAAATTCAATCGATCCTAAGGTATACTTAAAGAACATTTTGCTTTGGTTATCCTTATCCCCCAAGGCTTTTAAAAAAAAGACCATAATGTTCTCTAGTTTCTATTGCTAAAATTATTAAAATCAAACATGCATCATAAAAAAATATTAAAATAAGAGACTACTAGGTTGCAGAGAGCCTACAAAGATGCAAGAGCAAAATAATTCAAATTCTAAACTACACATTTCAGTACAATAGTGAGACACTACAAATAAACATTATATACAATTAAAGAATCTAAAGTCTAAACTAAGATATCATGATTCATGTACACATTTTAATTTTAAAGTCTAAAATCTAAATACATATTAGGTGTTCTGTTTTCATGGAAAAAAATACAAAAACAAGGAAGAATGAAAGGAAAAAAATATGGGGTGGAGACCTTGTTTTGTGTCAAAAACGATGAGAAAAAAAGGGGAGGAACACCTATTGCATCAAGAGAAAAAGAGGGGGGAAATGGTTGTGCAAAGCCCCTGTTTTTGTATCAAAAAGAATAGGAAAATGTGGGAAAGAGATCTTGCTTTACATTAAAAAAAGTGGGGAAAATAATAGGGTGGAGCCCTGTTTTGTGTCGAAAATGATAGAAAAAAAATGGTGGAAAACTTCCATTTTGCATCAAAACAAGAGGGTGAAAATAGCTGGGCAGAGCCCCTTTTTTTCGTGTTAAAAACAATGGAGAAAATGGTGTCAAAAAATATGTTGAACTTTTTTTTTGAGAAAAAAGTAAAGAAAGAGGGGAAATGAAGGGCGGAGGGCAGAGCACCCGTTCTTGCATTAAAAGAAGTGGGTTTCAGGTATTAGGAGGAAGAAGAAGAAAGAAACAACTTACCTTGAAGTTGAACAGATTAGCAGCAATCAAAACAACTTAGCTTTGGCGCTTTCATGCAGCTCAGCAACAGTCATGGAGGGGGTTTTAGCCTTGAGCTTTCATGCAAAAGTCATGCAGGAGGGTTTTTCCACCCGCCCAAACTTTTCTTTCGTAATAAACTAATAAAGAGCTTTCATTCGATGGACTATTGAATTTTATCTACTATTTATATAAAATGACATAGTTGCCCCTCCCCATATAAATGAAAGTTTAAAAAATTGAGGCCTATGACAGTCTTTTCAAATTTAAGCCACTCTTTAAATTATCGTATAAATCGCGATTTGCGATTCAAATCTACGATTCATACGTAAATCGTACGATTTTTGCAAAAAACAATTTGTATGTATGATTCGTATCGTTTTATGGACAATTCGATATGAAATTTTAACAACATTGAATGAAACAAATAACCCCAACCATAGGGTCACCTCAAGTATGAGGAAGTTCAACTCTTTTGTGGATTCCTTTGAATTGAGGGAGTTGCCGATGTTGCAAGCTGAATATACTTGGTCTAATTTTCAGGAAGAGCCCTTTATTGTAAGTTAGACAGGTATTCTCTTTAGATTGGGAGGAAGCGTGAAGTGGCCTAGTAATGAGGGCCCTACCTAGACCTACCTCGGATCATTGCCCAGTTAGATTGTCACAGGAAAGACTAGAATTAATGTGCATGGGGTAAAAAGTATTGATACACCCCTGCCTATACATTTGGGTGTATCAATACTTTAAACCATGATTTCCCTCTCCACATTTGTGCATCTTTTGCTTGAGCTGTGGTTGGAATGCTAATCACTTGTTCCTTTCTTGTCTCTTTATTATGGTTATTTGGAACCATTACCTCTTTTTGGAGCTTCTTGGTCACTTCTGTTGGATGTGGGGGACTTGTTTAAATCTGATTTCCTTTGCTTATCTACTAAAAGAGTAAAAATAATGTGGGGTTGCACAAGGGTGGTGGTTATTTGGATGTCTGGAGTGAAAGGAATTAAACGAACATATTTAACATGGAGCAGAAAGGTTCATACTCATGTTGTTCTAATGATAGAATTGCACATAGGATTTCTACTATTCAGTGGCTCAAGGGTGTGCCAACTTGACTCCATTTGAGGGGCTAGCAAATGGTTGCGAGATTTGCACATCAGAGAAGGCAGGTTGCTCTGGCTTGGAGCACTCCAAATGAGGGTTTGATCAAATTTATTTTGATGGAAGCACTTTTGGAAATTAATGTGCTTTTCTAGTATTTTAGGAGTGTTTAGAGTCCATTCTGGTAAAGTCCTAAGTTTTTCAGGCCCAATCAGATAAAGAACCTCTCTTAGAGCAGAATTACTAGCTCTCCTGCAGGGCCTAAAATTGGTTCTCATCTGGTTTGGAACAACATCCTAGTAGAGAATTATTGCTGAGTTATTGAGTGGACTTTGGGTGGTCTGGTGGGATAGATGCTCTTTAATCGAGTGTTGGTGACAAAAAACAATCATACATGATGCAATAATTTTACCAAAGCTTTCACAGAATAATTATGCACCAACTATTGAGTGTTGAATCACATTTTTTTTTCTGATTATTTTATTTATCTTATTTTATGTTTATATAGGGGAACTCTCATGGATGATGCAATGATTTTGCCTTGTGGACACTCATTTGGAAGTGGTGGAATGCAACATGTAATTAGAATGGTAGGTTCTAACCTGTTCATTTCTTGGTGTCCTAAATGGTTACATTTTTTTTTAATTTTTTATATAGTGCCTTGTTAGTATAACCATTTGCATGCCATTTGTAAAAATCCTCTAGCATGGGTCCTAAATGGTTAAAGTAAAGGTAAAAAAGAACTAATGAGCACCAAAGAAGTGTACTTTGCTTTAATTGTTAATTTGATACCGAACTCTGTTACTGAACTGCATATGGTTTTAAAGTTTAAATTGTTTCATGTTTGTTTGTTGTTAATTTGCACCATTCTGCAATTGTTGAAATCTACTTTTTGTAGCTGTTCTGGTATAAACAAGTATGCTCTATGGCTCTTGATAGAGCACAATGGCAGGACAGGCTTCATAGCCAACCCCATATACTTGGGTTGAAGACTGAGTTGAGTTGAGTTCATGGACAGAATCTAGAATTAATGTGCACCTCCAAAGGTCCACCCTGTCGTTGTGCACCTCCATTAGTTGCAAAGAAATAAGCTTCAATTGAATTTCATTCTTTAATTTAACTCTAGATGAAAGATAATTAACATAAATGTTAAACACAATATATATTATCAATTTGTTATGCTGGGACTCCCCACCTAAACCCTTATAAATACCAAGATTGACTTAGGCCAAAACATGCTTTCTCTATTTGCCCCTTGTTTTGCAAAATCCATCAGCCATTGCATTATGCCCATTCAAATTTTGACAAAATCATTGGAAGGTGTTGAGTTGTAGTTAGGGGGGGGGGATGGCATTGAATCAGAGCATTGAGGCATCCTTCGTCCCAGTCTTGAGGTGGAGAGAAGAACTAAGAATTGATTCGAAGAAATTGTTAATGGAAGAAGGAGAAAGGGGCAGTTTTTGCTAAAAATCAGAGAAGGACGGGCAGCCATTTTTCTTATGGGAGATGCAACTCAGTGGCTGAAAGGATTCTTCGATGGAGCACTGTGATCTGACAAGAAAGCAGGTTGGAAGAGCAGTCTGGAGTTTCCAAGATGAAAATACATGGAAGAGCTGAAAAGAAACCAAAAGGGCTGGTTTGTGGCCATCTCTGAGTTTTTTGGTTATAATAGGACGCAGCTTATATGCATACCAGAAGGAAACCTGGGTAAGGGTTGGCAGCTGTTTGTGGAGAAAATGCTTGACTTACTTGGTAAAAAGGAAGCTGATAATGACGGAAGAATTAAGTTTGAAGAAGGAAGTTGAGCTGTATCTCCTGAGAAAAGTTTCAATATTTTGAGCGAATTGAAGAACAGCAACATGCATGACCGATGGTTGGCTGCAAGAAAAAACTTGCAGAGGATGGTTTTGGACAGTGCAAGAGTGGATTGGGAATTTGGGATAGGAGATTAATCTTGAAGGCTGGAAGGGAGGTGACTGATTGGGGATGTATTAGGGAAGCGATTATGAAAAAATTTCAAAGTGCAGAATGGGGTGTCTATTTTTCCTTTTGATGACAGGAGAGCGGTTTTGGATACAGGGGAGACGGAAGTCATTTTCAATTCTGTAGATACCTGTCTGGGGTTGGTTTTAATTGAAAATTGGTTGGTCTCCTATAACATTAAGGAGTTGGACCCTAAAGTTTTCACTATTAAGCTAATTGGATTTCCATTCAGCCTCTGGAAGAGACACATAGTGGAATCCTTTTGGAGTTTGATTGCGATTATCTAAGTGAATTGAAGCTCAAAATGGCTGGTGTTAAACCAGAAGATGTCCCCCGATCGATTGATCTCTGTATTGGTGACTTATGGGTCAAGGTTTGGTTATTTGTAAAACCTGAAGTGACGTTATGGTGAGGAGAGTGAGATGTAGAAGAAGATGATGAACTAGCATTGGGAGGTCCACGTGGCAAGAGGGGAGTAGACCCAATGTGGGGTCCACACCATGGAAAGGTGCATAGTGAGCTGGGTGTTGGAAAAGCAAAGTTGAAGCCACTCAGTGGAATTAATGGAAAAGTTAGAGGCTCATTGAACTGACCAAAAATTAGTTAGGTGAGGAATTTTACTAAAGGACCTTTTAGGGATGGTAAGAAGGGTGTATCATCACCCCAAATTACATCCAACACTAACAGGTCTTTTAGTAATATCGGATGTATCTACGAATGGTCGTCCTAACCTAAGGTACGCCAGAAATCTCTCAGAGATAAAGGATGATGAGGATAAAGGCTGGGTGAGTTGTGAGTAGGCGGAAGACGAGGAATCTGATTCGAGTTGGATTCTTTGGAAGATAGCACAAGGGAAGATGCAACTCTCATGCAAGAAGTAGAAGACCAACTGTGAAGAGAGAAGAGAGAAGAGGACTAGGCATAACTGTGAACTCTAGAGGATCAAACAAGGTGGAGTCGTTGATTTAAAAGGCGCGCCTAGGCACACAGACGAGGTGCATTTTGGGGTATGTGCCTCGCCCAGGTCCTAGGTGCACCCCTTTCAAAATTTTGCGCTTTTTGCTTTTATTTTTGAGTCTAATGGCTGCGCCGGGGGTCTGCCCACCGAAGCTCCAAGAACCCCCTATTTGCTAATGTTGTTCATTCATTCATTGCAATAAAATATCTTCTTAAAAGGCAATGAAAGTTATAAAATCGTTATTTTTTTTATGTGAGAAATAAGAATGTCGGACCCTAACATAGACTTGTTTGGGCTTGCCTCGAGGCGTGGTTCAAAGGCGACTCATAGAATCAAGAATGCATTATGTTTTACATCACATTAGCTACTTGATGCAATGCAATTAAGCAAAAAAAGAGATTGTGGGTTTTACATTTTTGAAAATGCTTTATATGTTTGCTTTTATTTTTAAATTTTCATTTGAATATGCTTTACATGTTATGTTTATGCGTTTTAATTTTAGGTAATAGGTTTTTTAAAACATTTATTTTAAAATTTAAGTTTATATTTTTTATTAACATTATGTTTAATATTTTTTTTTGCATTTTTAAAATTTTTTGGCATTTTTTGAAAATTCTGACTTTTTTTTTTGACTTTTTAGCTTTTTTTTTTATTTTGCACCTTGCTTAAAAAGGCATGCACCTCGGGCGCAAATTGGCCCTTGCGCTTTTAAAACACTGTGGAGTTTCGGGAGGTAGTAGGGAGGGAGCCAAAGCTCTAATAAAGAGACACCATAACCAAATTCTTCTCATAGGCAGGATGTCTATAGGGGATTAGACAAGATTAACCTGAGGCCGAGTGGGGAAATTCTAGATACAGATAGGGAAGAGGGTTGTGGGAATGGTCAGGATGTGAATTTAAGTACAGAAGATTTATCCAACAAAATCTCCAAATGAGGTGGATAGTAAACTCCGAGCTTCTGAACAGAAAAAATCAACAAACCACTGATAAAAAAAAATCAACAAACCAGACCACTGTTGCTGAGAGTCCTCCTCCAAACCCAGGTACAAATGTTGTTTTAGTATTAGTTACTAATGACTGCTCTGTGCCTGAAGTCTTTTCTCCAGGTTCCCAAGAAGCTCTGAGGCCACAAGACTGATAAAATGGGCAGTTAAAAGACTGGTGGGAGTGTTAAGGAAGATGACTCGGAGAATGTTGAAAGGGGAAGGCAAATCTGGGAGTTGATTGAGAATTATTTAGAGGTATTTAAGAGGCTTGAAGTTGAGAAACAAGCGTATGAGAGAGGTGGGGGGAGCAACTGAGGTGTATGATTTGGTGGCTGCTTCTGTGGAGAAACCGAGGTGTATGATTCAGAATCCAAATGATTTTAGAGCTTTCTTAAAGAAGGATAGTGGGAGACAAAGTGAGGAAGAGAAAGATGAGTGAAGTGGAAAGATTAAGGAGTGATGTGGAGGGAGACAAGGAATTCAGTGGGAGAAGGGAAAGGCCTAGGGGAAAAGTAGGAATTTTAGTAAAAAGGGACTGAATTGATCTTGGATAGAATGAAGATTGTGAGCTGGAATGTCAGAGGGTTGGGAAGGACTCGAAAAAGATTCATAATTAAGGAGGTTTTTAGGAAAGAGAAACCAGATATAGTGCTAATACAAGATGAATTTGGCAGAGTTTGATAGGAGTTGGGCTAAAAGTATTTGGAGAGCTAGGGGCCTTAGCTGGTTATGTCCTCATTTTGGGGTGCTTCTTCAGGGGGTTTAGTTACACTTTGGAACAATGATTTTTTTCAGTCACTTTGGAACAATGATTCTCTTCTTGGAATTGAGAAATTGGTTGGCATGTTTACAATCTCTATCAAATTTAGACAAGTAGCAGATGGCTTTGAGTGGGTTCTGACCAATTATTATAAGGAAAGAATTGAATTGTGGGAAGAGTTGGAAGACACAAGGGGTTTATTGGAACAGACCTTGGTGTTTCGGAGGTGATTTGAATGTTGTAAGATTTTTTTTTTTTTTTAAATTTTTTTTGATAGGAAACAGTAACTTTCATTAAATAAACATCAGAAATTACAAGCTGTCACCTACAGAAGGACAAAGTGACCCCTGAAACAAAAAGCAAGTTACAACACAGCCCAAAACAAAGTCTCTCTATTCACCCCTTGCTTTGCTAGTAAGTCAGCTAAAGCATTTGCTGACCTTCTAGTCCAACTAACACAACTACACCCAGCTCCCTTGTAAGGCTCAATAATTCTCTTACATCTTGTCTTAGGGACCAAATTCCCAGACTATTTGTTTGCACCCACCCTATTACTAATTTTGAGTCTCCCTCCACTTCTAGCTGTTACGTACCCAAACGCTTAGCCAATCTAATAATAATCCTAGGTAAATTTTTTGGAAGAAAGTACTAATCCTAGGTAAAGAATCAACATGAGCATGAGAAGATTTAATCAGTTCATTGATACCTTTGAGCTGAAAGAACTGCCCTTGTCCTATAGCAATTTCACCTGATCTAACACACAAGTCATTCCTATTTGCTCTAAATTGGATAAATTTCTCTTCATTGTGGATTGGGAGGTGTATTGGGGAAATCTAGTGTCTAGAGCCCTTCCCAAAGTGACCTCAAAGGCCCATTGCTATTTATAAAGAAAATTTGGAAGAA